TTCTGCATTAGACTAGTGATCAGACTCATGTGGAGGAGGCCAAAGCCACAGGCAGAGATCCATTTGATCACTAAACTATGCGACACTGGGACTTAGCTTTAAATTGTTATAAAATGATTACATAAATCTGTCAATGTCCAAACAATGGGATATGTTTTCCGTGGCTAAATGCACTGTATGTGGGTTTTGACTTTCACATACAAGTAAAATAGGAGTAACAACAGCGATGTCTAAAGCTGTTCCCTGATAGAGAAAATTTGGTACAAGTACAACTACAGTGGTAAAACCACACAATGCTTGGAATGTCTACAACAAAAATACAAATGTTACACAATCTGAACAACTACTGATAATAGATAATATCAGACTTGTAGCGTTAATGGACCGCTAACAAAATTGGCAAATTCACCCATGAATGATATGAAGTATAAACAAATTCTTAGAACTTGAAAAAGATAAATGAAAGGCATAACCAGCTGGATTGGTTGAAATGGCAGATAAATGTGTATGCATTTGCAGAATTTTTGCAGACCAGTCACTGGCACTGCAAATTTAAAGATCAAATTGGAAAATTTACTGAAAATTATCATCATAAAAGGTATAATATTTGGTGATGGTGTAAAATACTACATTTTATAAAGGTAGCAATTCAACAAAACATCTTGATAAATGTATAAATATTATCAGTTTTTACTTTTCTACAGAAGATCTGAAGGTTAAGTACAATTGATCATACATAACAGCATCGGACAAGGCAACAACCTAGAACAACAGAATTTCAAGTTAGGCTTTTCGTAACCTGCATTACAGAAGTAAAACTTCATACATTTTCAACTATTTTTGATTCAATCTAATAAGATCTTTTGTGCGACATAGTATTTTTATGGGTAAGTATTTGTTTACATATTTCTGTTCTCACTTTTTCAACACTTTTTCAGACTGGCTGCAAAAGATCAACATATAGATGATCTTCTTTTTATAGGCCGTGTCTTTTTCCAAACTTGCAATTTTCAACACCCAATTAGAAAGTTTCAAACAAATGTAGTGATTTGCAGAGTAATTACAAATATATGTATGTACTTCAGTTGTGATATTGTACCAAGCTGTCTCTTTGGAAATGATAGATTATAATGTTACAGTTTTAATAACAAGGTCTCAATTTTGAGTAATAGTACAGCACATTCTCTCACTTCTGTTCATTCTATGTTGTTCTCCTTGTACAGATACTTATTGCAATAATTCATAACATTTGAACTATTTGAACCAGTTCATATCTAAGGCAGTTAAAAACAAAAATTGTATAAGTACAGCAATGGTCCCATGACAGTCTCAGACTGAAAAATATCTAAAATAGTAAAACCTTATATTTTATACAATATATTAAATCAACTATAAATGGAAATCTATATAAAACAAGTAACATAAGATTCACATTTTCTCAATGAACAAATCTGTGTTGAGCCAGTCAAGACAAATGGCTTGCTGCTCCAGAATTAACTATTAAATAAGCTTAAGTTAAATAACACCAACGTCAGCTTATACAGTCATGCACACTTCAATTTCATTTTAAATCACATCTGCACTGACAACTGACATTTGCCACAACCGATTTATTATCACCACATTACGCATACATGTCACAGGCGCTGTCTCCAAAATACATGTTCAATTTGTGTCACGAATGGTTGGATTGGCCGTTTTAAAATCTGAAGAAATAACTTAAGGTACCCAAACTATTTTTTGACTACTGAATCTCAATTGTTTGTATTTTGTCCAATGAGGAAACCACAAAGTCATTGTTTTCATAGAAACAAGTTTGGGTATCCCAATTTGTATTTGCTTTTTCTCATTTTAATATTTGATAGAACCTTTCACTCAGCAAACTAACAAAGAATTTGTAGTGCTTTTAAGATTTCCACATATTTTTTTACTAGTCGCCTTCTCCATCCGTAACTGGTTGCTTGAATACTAATGACCTAGTCATCTATTTGGGTTGTAGAACACCCGAAAAACATTTCATGGGAGAAAAAAAAATGTAATTACAATCTTGATTTTGAATATATTATGAGCAATGCTTTCTTCTACAGGGTGATTTAGTACATTACTGCACTATACCCCCATCTGACATATAACACATTAATGTATCAAGTGCAAAGTTTTACTAGTGTCGCTAAACGACCATATGACCACCTTTCACCAGAGAGTGTCCTCTCAGCACCAGCTTTATTGTCACTCCATTTGCACAAGACTGACAATTTATATTAATCATTCAGCTTAGAGAAGTCACTATGCAGAAGAGGGAACACCATATTCCAAATGTTTTTTTAAGAATAAATGAGTATAATGCATTGAGTGCATCATGGAAAAGTTAGCTACAGTAAATTGCTACAGCATGATAATTAGTACCATACTTCTTCTATCAGAAGCACACTTACAATATGCAAATATATAGTATATTTACATACATGCTAAAAAGATATAAATTTCAGTATCCACTTGCTACTATTGCAAGTGTGCTACTAGAAGAGATATAGTACATGGTAGAAAAAATGTGTATTTTGAAGACTAACACAATTCTCATTTCACTTTAGTTCCAAGTTGCTACCTCTAGGAATATTAACAACAAAACCTCAAAAAATAAAGTAATAATATATTCTACAACTTGAACTAGTTATTACCATCACATAAATTAAAAAATATAAATAAATATAAGTTCATTTTATTTTCAACAAAAATATGAAAAAAAAAGTAAAAATCCATCTAGGAAGTTTTGATATTAAACATGCACCAGTTAAGCACCCCATGCATATCTTAGGTTGCTCAGTTTTCTGCAGTCAGTGCAATTGTCAAAATTGATTTTTTTTTAAATCTAATCACAGACTTGATTTGATGCCTTTTTATAAACTATCAACTATAAACTGTTAACATAGCTGAATAAAACAGCATAATTCTAGAACAAAAAAAAATCCTCTAAAAGGCATTTCCTTGTAGGCTTTCCTAACTCAACTGCAGTGAACCCTCACAAACTACTAACACTGCTCTGCTTTTTTCATCTATATTTGTGAAATCAGACGTATCATCTGCAGACAGTTAAATGAGAGGGAACACTTCGCATATACATTTTTGGTCAAATACGGCAACCATAAAATTCTAACTCTAAGTGATACATCAAGACTCCTGTTGAATAAGATCTGTCCGGATTATATCAATCTAATCTGAATTGTCAAGATGTCATGGTTTATTCTATCGATAATTAAATAATTGAATGGATGGATAACGACATCAAAAATTAACAATTGTGTTAAGTGGTATATAACACAAAGATAGTATTAAATCTACTTGTTTATGCTCTACTAACTCTACATCACAAATAACAGATGACAAAATATTAAAAAAAAAAAGCTTCCACATTAATTAATGTTAGAGTAACATTTTTTATATAACTATAGTTTCATGCAGAAACTTTCAGTTCATTTGTTTTATATTTTGAATTAATAAGAGCTGCCCAATTATTTAATAATGAGAAAATTAACAAATTAAGAAGCGTTAACTTAAACCCGTTAGACGGATGACTGAACAGCACAGATCATTTGTTAAAAAAACAACAAAATCTGCATAATAATTAGTAAAGAATTTGTAAACCACACATTGTAAATACAATTTTAAAAAGATAATGACAAATTTTTAGTTTGCAGACATTTTCTGGAAACTACTGCAGAATTGTCTAAGTAAGTTAACCATACAGATTTTTTTTTTTACAAATACTGGTACCTGAAAATAGTATTAATTTTATCTTTACAAATCTTAGAAAAAATTTAATTTGAAAAAATGCTAAATTGCATAAATTTGCTCAAAGTACAATATAAAGTTCAGTTCATCTTTCATATGCAAAATACTCACAACTTTTAATTAATTACACATTCAGCACTCTTATGATGGTGGTCAAGGATGAGAACTAGGAACAAAACGAGTCAAAAATTAGAAAAAAAAGCACCACAAACAAAAGGGAAATAAGGAAATAGAAATCTGTTGCAAAATTTGGTAATAGATAAATACATTAAATTCAAAGTTACACTTTGGTACAAGTATTGCAGTGCTAAAACTACTGCATTGGTGACGAATTCAAGAACTACCTATACACATGTACTCATATATTATATTCCCTGATATGAGGCCAAAAGGCTTAAAATAATTATGACTGGCAAAAAAAAACTACTAAATGCGGTATTTCTATCTCTTTCAAGGTGATGGAGGTTGTGTCTGTCTAAATAAGTGTAAGTCAGCACACATAGAAATGAATTATTAATGATGTACACATGCGCTAATACTATATATCTTTCTGTACATCTTGTGGAAGAGTAACAATTAAGCACAGAAGACGTGTGCACTCAAATAGGCAATGATTTCAAAGTGATAAAATATGAAGTATTATTAATAGACCCTGTTGTGAATAATTTTAAATTTTAGACAACAAATTATAATGCTTTTCACTCTCTACATTTCCATATTAAGTAAATACAGTACTGGGAAGAATAGACACCCAAAATGTCTGCATGCTTTATACCTAACTGTGTGGTAATTCTCAACAATGTGGACTGGCACCATGTCTAACCCCTTTTTAATTATGGTTTCCATGAAACCAACGGTTCACAGACTATTACTTATAGTATACCCAAGAATATTATGTGAAAAAATTATATAATACATATATATCTCAAAATAAATTAAGCTCCTTATTAATTAATCAGAATCATGTTAAAAATCTATCCATTTGATAATATATTCGTATATTTCACATTTTTCGGCAGATTGATAAAGATAAGACAATTTGTCACTTCAGGGTAAAATTAAACCATTGTCTATCTATTATTTTAAGATACTTTATTATCATTAATTACTGTAATCTTCTCTGCATTTCTGCTTTTGAACAAATTCTATACTAAATCAACTTTCCATACTTTTTTTTAAGGGAGAATACAAATGTATTTTACTGGCACAATCTGTTAAGTAACAATTATGAATGAATACCCTCCCAATTAAAATACACCTAATCATTTACCACATTCAAAAGCCGAAGCAGAATTATGATCTTCTATGTTTGTTCTGTATCTTGGCCTTTGCCTTTTGATTCTTCATCAGCTCCTTTGGAAGAGGCTGTCTTTGACATCTGTAAACTACACCACAGAGCCGTGCGAGACTTACGTGTATGTCCGGTTAATTCTTGGATGCTTGCAGCCAAAGCCAAAACATCTAAAAAGAATTCATAAGATAGGTTAAATTTAGTGTGGTTACTTTGTAATTAATAAGGTTCTACTGAGATTATATATATTAACACTGCGAGTGTCATAATTTTCTGACCAAAACTTGTGTGCAGCATTTTGATATATTATAGTATAATTTTTGTCTTAATTTAGAACCACACTGAACATTATCTCCTATTAAAACAACATGACACATCTTTATGGGATACAGATGCTCTTTGTAAAAATATCACTAATTTCTGTAAAATACTTTATTTTAGCTAGAATTAATTTTCACTGAAAAGACTTTTTAGGTGTTTTGTAGGGAATTTATTTTCACTGATTTTTGACGAGTTGAATGTGAAATATAGGAAAAAGGGTATATTTGCCGGATTTTATTTTTACTGAATCACTCTGTCAGTGAAAATAGCGAAAATTAAGTATTTTACAGTACATGAAGCCAGACACCTGTTGCACGGCTCACCAAGGTGCCATGTGTATTTATCACAGATACAAGTTACTGAGGCTACTGCATAGCCACAGATGTCAAAGGTCACAAGTAAGTTATATTTTCTCCTAGTTTTCAACCTACCTCTGTCTTCTTGGTACTTGGCCCCACCATGTCTATGTCTGTTTGTAGCATTTACTATTTCCTCTTTACGTCTTGCCTGTACTTTACGAATACCTTCCAACCATTTGTCCATTGCTACTCCAATATTAGCATGTAAACTCTCTTTAATTTGTCCACTTATCTTGCTGGTGAGAGTCACAACCTAGCAAAAGTAAAGTACATACTTAATGAGAAGAGTAAAACATATGGAAAATAAATACATAATTCAAAATTATATAAAAATACATACAGGAAGGTGCACTTGTTTATGTTTTGCATGTATGCACGGTAACTGGTCAGAACGTACAACCCAAACGTCTATTAATGGTATTGTTTGCTATTGTTATTATTAAATGTACCAAGTTTCATTAAAATGTGATGATTAATTCCTAAAACAGTACTTGAGATGTTGAAGGAAAAGCTGATAATTATTATGCAAATCAGGTAATTAACATGCACAGATTTTAATGTAAAACTAATACGATATGCACAGTGTCACAGACCATTTATGTACCCAGTTTCATTGAAATGTGATTAGAACTTGGCTAATTATGCAAATTAAGTAATTAATATGCACATATTTTACAGCAAAACTAATCAAGTCTGTGCATAGTCCTAGAGCATCTATGCACCAAGTTTCATTGAAATTTAATGATTAGTACTTGAAATATCAGCAGCTAAACCAAACAAGCAGCCTCCTGGCTGAGATAGCTCCGCTGTTAGCACTGCACATTTCAATTAAAGAACAGAAGATATCATTAGAAAATGAACAATATGCATAGTATCAATGCAATGGGACTTGCTGTTTTCAACAAGAATTCAAAAATATCATTTTTCACCATAAATGATTGCGGCTTTTAACAAGAAGTCAAAAATATCACTTTTTACCAAAAATGACAAAAATATTCACCAAAATTAGAGAATTAAAGATATCATTACAAAATGAACAAATCTGAGAGAGGTCCATATGTAGTACCTATATATGTAATATCAAAGCAATTGGACTTGCTGTTTTTAACAAGAAGTTGAAAATATCACTTTTTACCAAAAATGACAAAAATATTCACCAAAATTAAAAAATTAAAGATATCATTACAAAATGAACAAATCTGAGAGAGGTCCACATGTATCACCTATATATGTAATATCAAAGCAATTGGACTTGCGGTTTTTAACAAGAAGTCGAAAATATCACTTTTTACCAAAAATGACAAAAATATTCACCAAAATTAGAGAATTAAAGATATCATTACAAAATGAACAAATCTGAGAGAGGTCCACATGGAGTAACTATATATGTAATATAAAAGCAATTGGACTTGCTGTTTTTAACAAGAAGTCGAAAATATCACTTTTTACCAAAAATTACAAAAATATTCATCAAAATTAGAGAATTGAAGATATCATCACAAAATGAACAAATCTGAGAGAGATCCACATGTAGTACCTATATATATAATATCAAAGCAATTGGACTTGCGGTTTTTAACAAGAAGTTGAAAATATCACTTTTTACCAAAAATGACAAAAATATTCACCAAAATTAGAGAACTAAAGATATCATTATAAAATGAACAAATCTGAGAGAGATCCACATGTAGTACTTATATATGTAATATCAAAGCAATTGGACTTGCTGTTTTTAACAAGAAGTTGAAAATATCACTTTTTACCAAAAATGACAAAAATATTCACCAAAATTGAAAAATTAAAGATATCATTACAAAATGAACAAATCTGAGAGAGGTCCACATGTATCACCTATATATGTAATATCAAAGCAATTGGACTTGCGGTTTTTAACAAGAAGTCGAAAATATCACTTTTTACCAAAAATGACAAAAATATTCACCAAAATTAGAGAATTAAAGATATCATTACAAAATGAACAAATCTGAGAGAGGTCTACCCAAGGTACATATACACCAAGTATCAAAGCATTCAGGCTTGTAGTTTTCAAGAAGAAGTCGAAAAAGTAAAACATTGACACGGACGCTGGACAATCACTCATATGATAAGCTCCGCTCGACAAAGTCGACAGCAGAGCTAAAAAAGAAACTGGTGGTGAAAAGGTTCAAATAGGTATTTGTCATGGCAAATTTGTACAATAGAAGACTGCACTTACCCTACTGTGTTCACGTAGCATATCCACTATGAGTCGATCAACACGTGATGGATTTGATGGCAGGCGAGGTATTGGTGTGTTATTAGAACTTGACAAGCGTTTACCAGGATTCATTCTAGCTAAGTCAGCCTCCGTCTGTAATAACATTAAAAAGATAACTCATGGTGAATATGGGAGATGAAAGTGCTATTAGCTTTGTGATATTTGCCATTCATTTGATTATTTTTAATAGAAATATATTATAAATTTTATGTAAATCCAGCATAATCTGTTAGTTTGAAACACCAATATTAGCTTAATTGTCACAATAAAAATTTATATTTTTATTTAAGAAAACCATGACCTATAAAGGGATTGAATGGTATTTGAGAGATGTCCACATGTTATTGACAGCCTAGACACAACATACATGTACAGTAAGTGTCACCAAAACACAAAATCAACAAATATAATGCAGTAAGATACATCTGCAATGGATTTTAACCTAAATTAAGACTGTAAACCCACATGTGTGTTTTCTAGAATAAGAATTATTTTTTTGACTACTCTATAGCATGCATTATCACAGCTTTGTTAGTAGCCTGTTTCACATTTAGTGTGCCTAAGACCTGTTCAAATTTGTTGTTTGTTGAATAAACAAGATTAAAATTGGTTCCCTTTTACACAGTCAAAATGTCATTATTTAGGCCCGCCATAAGCACCCTCTTTTCTTTGTAATGCAGATTTGTTATATCAGAAGTGTCCAGATTGGCGGACCTCAATGTGTTGTTTCCTATCTGCATTTTTTTGTATTTTGAAGCAAATCTTGATGAAGACATAATTTGCATCATCAGAATGATGTCTTAAATCATTCTAATTAATTTGAATCATGAATGGCAGATTTGGGATATATGGTTTGTTTTGAACTGTTGAAAAGAAACCCGGTGACATGACGAAACCTATTGGTGGACACAAATGGTTTTGAGGAGATCGCAGGACTTTCCCCATCTACCACTTTGCATGGTTGTTGCGATTGTGATTTTGGCCTTTGGTACAAAGGTCACAAACCTAATTGGCATACTGTAGTAAGGTCGTCCTAATTTTGGGATTAAAATTAAGGCTAGCCCTGACACTTCTTACCAGGCGTGACTTATTTAGGTCGGCATAAATATTTAGGTTTGTGTTAACACAATTAGCAGTGTATAAGGCCAAAAATATGATTACATGTTTAGTATTTTATGCTTGTGTCTACACTGAAATTTAATCAAGACAAACAAATATACTTTTTTCTTTATTCCCTATCTTCAAATATCTGTTGACAAATTGCCTCTTATTAAACAACAATATACACCACAACTATACACAGGTTTGACAGTACCACAATTGTTATATTATGAGCACAATTTCCTATGTCATATTAAATGTGAAGTGTTTTTGTTTGTTAAGGTTGGA